ACATATATCTTTTCACTCTGGCGAACTGGAAATCCCGTTTACGCGCTTTACCCCGCGGTTGTTGAATAAAATATGAAGACAATAATGTTCGACAAGGGCTTGTTAAGCCCTGGTTGCTGGTCGTTTAAATGAATTCTGGAAAAATTCCGGGAAAATAAAGGTCTGCGAATGAGGCGACTAAACACAGCGCTAATAACAAAAGCATTTAATAATCATAAAGGTACGGCGGAAATAAAATAGGATTTATAAGCTTTCGAAATGAGTTGTAAGTCTTCTTACACTCATCGATCTTATTTAACGTTGCTGTGCCTGGGTTGTTCCACATCATCTTCAGCTGCTTCACGCATATCAGAACCTACAAACAGCACCAAGTTCCCCAGCTATCACACTTCTTCCCCTACTTACGTTATTCAGCTTATCTGGGTCGATCGCCCGACGCGTGACGTCAGCGACGGTACTGTGGAGCGAGTCTATGAACGCCGCGTGACACGCGATCAGAGATTCAAGGTCGCAGGCCTTCTCGAGGTCGAGCTCGAACTTCGACAGCGCCTTGGCGAAGACAAACCCGAACAGAAAATGCTGCAAGCTATTTAAAACGTTCACCAGGCAGAATTTCAAATGGTGAAGCTTAGAAGCGACGCCGCCGCTCCTTGACGTCCTGTTGGTCTTGGGTTGCAGATCTTTCAGCGCCAGATGGCTGACGCTGTGCAAAGCCCACTTCAGTTTCAACAGGAACCGGAATATGTCTGAGTACATCCGAATTTGCTCCGCGTTAACGATTACATTCAATGGCCATGAAACGTCGAAGTTTATGTTAACGAACTCGCATATTGAAAGGGAATCCGGGCAAAATAACTCTCCGTTTTTAATTTGGACAGAACACCTGTCGTAAAACTCGGGATAAATGTCCACGAAAATGTCCTGAAGGTGGGACGTCAACCAAACGTTGTTGGCCCAACCTTTGCTCGACGATTTCGTCTGTGACAATTCCTGAAAAATGTCTTATATAGGACTGTGAAATGCTGTATCTCTTACACTATTCGCCATAGAGTAGCCGTAATTTTTTTCTAACAAAACCACCCAGAAAGTGTGCTTTATGAACCTAGACTTTTTTAACACTTTACTGCATATTTATAATTAAGTGGAAGGGGTGATTCAATGTTTGTAGTAGTACTTATTGTTCCATCAAACCCTGTGACATGACTAGTTCTTAGTGATACGGTTAGAGCTGGTTTTTTGATATAATGACAGAAAATTGAAAAATTCTCTAAAAGTTATTCCTAATCTAAAATATTATAGACTTTGACTTTTTTTTTTAAGTTTTTATAATACAATTTCATAATTTTATGTTGTTTTCAATAATAAAAGTTCAACAATTTTTTAAAAAGTGCAAGGTAGTCAAAATGTGGTATTGAGGGAAAACAAATGTGTAGAATCAACTGGTGAATAAATTATAAATTAATACTTACAGACTCAATGCAATTTTTTTGGTTGCCCAAAGATTCAAATTACTTTTGAAATGTTTTTATTAGTAAAATATGTAAACAAATATTTTACATTCATTTGCTGCTTGCTTTCAAAACTTCGAAAACCCTGTATTTTATGGCATTTATTAATACTTCTCAGATTCCTCTTTTCAAAAATAGCTTATATGTCCATGTTAGAACTAACCGCCTTGTTATCGGTAACATACAGGACGTATTACTTATTTATTTTGTTTTTCCACACAGTATATTAAGAATTTTCAGATCAAATTTATTACTTCAATTTACTTATTTATTAACGTTCGAAGTAGCTCCTGGTTAGCAGTAATATATAGATGTTCTATTTAAAAAGTTATTTTTTTTTTTTTTTGTTTTTCTGCTCAGGATACTAAAACATTTTTGGATACAGTTTAATAATTTAATTAATTGCTGTGTTTATTTTATTTATTAATGTTCTAAGTTTTCTAGTTAACAAATAACACATACTTTAACTATTCAAAGATATTTGTGATTTTTCTATTTTTTCTTCTCATTTTAATATCAATTATTAAATACTTTCCGAAGAAATTAGTAATTTTTTTTATCTCTTCAAATAGATTTTAGGGGCGCGTCCAACAATAACGAAACACCCAGCACCCACCCTTCCAAACAGTTCCCTGTAAAAAGGAAATATCATGTCGTCCCAGAACAGGTACAGGTGTCTAAACAGCATCAGTTGTTTCTCGAGCAAGTGCTCCTCCAGCAAAATATTCTTCACCAGTAGCCCGGATACCGTGAAACGTTTATCCAAAATATCTGTTAATACAGTTTCGAAAAAGTTCGTTTTGGGAAACAAATTCGTTGTCGCTCCCGCTACCCTAAAGTAAAGAAATAAGGGGCGTGACCTCGACGAGGCTCAGATTAACTCACCGGTCACACAAACTCGGCCTTTCCTGGACGCGTTTGGGAGGTTGCTCTTCAAAGAACTCCGCGAAAGCGCACATCAAAAACCCGTTGGTGGTGTCGACCAGGTCCTCTAAGCTGTTCATATCCTTGTTAAATATATCATTCTCTCGCTGGGGAGACACTTGGGGCGACGACAATGGGACCGCGTCTTCTTCAAACCCTTCGTCTTCGATGATATTGAAAAAATTACGCAGCTTGCTCAACACGCTTTCAACAAACTCCTGGTAGATCGTATCTAAAATAAATTCATATGGGGGATTTACAGTTTTCCTCTCGTAACACTTTTAGACACCTCGAGATTCCCCTATAATGCTGTACTTCCCCAAAAGCCTCAAAAAATTGATATTCTTCCCGATTTGCAGCACCCTACCGCAAATTATTCGCAAGATACCATTTGCGCCACACTCGTCATCAATCCCGCTTTTTAAGACAAAATCCACGGCGTGTCTTGACGCGTTGGCTGTTCTAAAGTAAAGTAAAGCTTTATTGGTGTTTCCAAATAGAAAGTATTTTTATCAGAGGTCATAATTTTAAAAACTATCACATTTAAACTGGTCAAAATACACGAGTCAATGTGCCATGTTTAAGAAATCTTTCACAGTATAAAAAGATTCTTTAACTAAGAACGTTGTTATTTTTAATTTCAAAGACTTTAAATCTATTTTTTAATATATTGTTTGCTAGCTTATTGAAGAATTTTCGAGCAATCTGAGAAATTCAGTGTTTATATCTTCATTAACACAGCTAGTATAAAAATGAAAGGCATTGTGTTGCATAATTACTTAAATGTTTTTTTTATATAAATTTAGGAATTCTAATATGTATCTGTAAGGTATAGTTGAAACTCAAAGTTTATTAAGGTGTTTAATTAAGAACGTTTTTATTTTTAATTTCAAAGTCTTTAAGTCTATTTTTTAATAAATATCAATTGGTAGCTTATTGAAAAAATGTGGAGCAAATCTGAGAATTTCAGGGTTTGTGTCATCATTAACAACACTAATTTGAGTGAAAGGCACTATGTGTTATATAATTACCTAAATGTATTTTTATATATACCAAGCAATCTTAATATATATCTGTAAGGTATCATTGAAACTCAAAGTTCGTTAAGGTGTTAATTATTCTTATTACTCTCCTCTGTAATGCAAAAATTCAATTTGCCTGAGGAGAATGCCCCCATATCAATGTTTCAGTAGGGACTATTGACTCAAACAAGGAAAAATAGACCATCCCTGGTACTGTCTTAAAGATCTTTTTTATAAGGAATATTGTCTTGGAATATTTTTAGGCAGTCGTGTCAATATGAGCTTCAATTGAAAGTTTGGGATCAATATAAACTCTATATAAATTATATTTATTGAGTTTTTTAGACTAATAACCATTTTTTCTGTCTTTGATTGAAGTTAGAGTTCAATTGCAATATTCAGTTTTGTGGTATCATCGGCAAAGAGATATTTCTTATTTTTATTGGTCTTGCCAATATCATTAATATAAAGAGACCACGGCCTAACTAAAATTGCACCTGTCCCGCTCCACTGACTCACTTTTCGATAACAAATTCCCCGGTATAGTCGCTCAAGTCATCCTTCATCAGCCATCCGTCTATGACACCCAAGTAATAGCGACACGCGCCCAGAAACAACGCGGTCCTCAGGTCTTGATCCAACTTGTCAACCGACAGATTAAGTCCCTCGTGCAACCGGCAAATTAAAGTGGTGGCGCACTTCATGGGCGTTTCAGTCTTAAAATTGAGCACCACCTGTTGGTGGATGCTTTTCGCCCGCCTCAGTGGTTCCATTATGTGAGGTAGGTCATTCGCTAGGTTCAGCAGGGTGTATGTCACCTCTGTAACAATTTTAACTAAGCCCTTGCTTTGTAACAGTTACTACGTTGCATTTTAAAATTGTGCCTGTAATCAAGAAATTGAAAGAAAAACCTTGATAAAATCTTTAAGGATAATTTTGAATGTAAAAATTACACGAAGTACGACAATCAATATTTAAATTCTGTGAATTGAAAAATATCCTCACACTTAAATATCTAAATTACTGCATTACTCTTTGGAGTGAAGCTGGTGCAACAACTTTGAATAAACTTCAACTTAAAGTTATGCTAATAAAAGGTATCTGACAATTAGTCTTTAGTGAATGTGAATTTTTAAGTATTCATACACGTCCATCTATAATAGGGTTTATAATAAAGGTTTGTTATTATAAAGATACAAATGTATATTTACGGGTCACAAACCATATAACACGAAAACCAAATGCTGAAAAATTAACTTCACGATTAATTTTGGATTTGATAAATACTAATAATTCCTAATGGTATATAGTTGGAGTTTCTAGAAATTTGAAACTTTTAATTTGATATTTATGTATATGCGTGTATTTTTTTTATTTTTTCTTTTTCATATTTTTATTAATCTAAAAATAAATAAATTAAGGGCGTGTGTATATAATAACAACACAGATTATTAAAATAAGACACAAATAACTAACCCTGATCGCGAACCTTATCCTCCAGTCGACATAATTTTTGATAGACAGGTCTTGTGATGTCATTAATCACTCTGGCATAACTTCTGTATGTGTGACACACCACCATTCCACTTCCATACAATTCGCCAAGGGAATCTTCAAATTCCCTAAAATACTCCATCAACTTCATGTGAGGAATAAATTCTAGCATAAACAAGCTGAAAGCGGGCTAAGAAGATCCAAAATGGATTAAATAAATACTTTTATAAGTACCATGGACACCTACACATCTAACGCTAGCTACTGTGATATGCTCATTGGGCTGCACATAGTTGCCGCACAATTTGAATGTGGAACAAGTATGATAACCCCACATTTCCCATAAAACCTCACGAATTACTTTATATTCAGTGATTATGGACGGATTTTCTACCACCACAAATCCCTCCACTAGATGTCTTAAGAAATCCTCCCTAGAAAACATTGACTTGCAACAAGTCAACGTGACATCATCAAACTAACCAAATGAGGGCAATGTTGGCTTCCCTATGCTCACTTTCCGGTTTATCCCGAAAAAAATTCTCTTCATACCATGAATGCTGTATAGTAGCCAACAACTCGTCTCTACTGCTCCGCAAATCTAGGACACACTTTCTCTCAGTACTTCTGATAGTTGGCAATTGAATATTGCCAGGAACAACTGGACTCTTTGAATAATCTGAACAATCTTCAACTTCACCTTCCTATGCAACAAATCCATTATTAACTGATTACAACATTTCCAAAAGGGCACCAAACTTACACTCTCATTATCATGATCCGGGTTCCATATCTCAATGCCTTCATTCAAGTATTCAGTCCAATCAATTTCATCATTTTCTTGTTTATCCACTGGCTGTACATAGTCTTGCGGATTTTCCAGAAATTTTTTTGTAGGCGTCTCAGACATACACAACAAAAATTTCACTACATTGAGCCTCGACGTTTGGAGTGCCTTGGGCAAATCTTCGGGAATATATTCACTGTACACCTGGACGAGCGCTTCTGCTTCCCTAAAGAAGCCATGAAAACAAAACTTCTCTCGCATGCCTTGCATGCTACTGTCAACATCACGTTTGTTGAGAAAATACATGGTGTCGCAACGTCTTAGCTTTGTCGTAAAATGTTTAAAAACGCAGTCGAAACCTTCCGATCCCGTCTACAAATCCATCTTTATAAAAGTGTGTGAATAACATCAGCGCGAACTTACATCAAATCCTGAGACATGCCTTATTAGTTCTTTTATGCCGTCGCAAACGTCTTCGGCCAGCGCCTTAGACATATTTCGATGGGAAAACTCTGAAAACAGAATTCATGCAGAATTTCCAACCGAAAACGCAGAGCACAGGTTAGAATCGATTGGAGTTGTCAGCTGATTACCGCTTGCGCGTTTAAAACTTCGGTAGAGCTGGGCGCTTCGAATCGTTCGTTAGCCATTTTGAAATCCTTGCTGGTTTTGAATAAAAAATAATCCAGGTTAAATAGATTTCCATTTTACCCAAATTTCAACGGGCAAGCTTAAAACTTTTGGATTTTAACTGATTTGATAGATAGTTGAAAAAATCCATATATTTTCTGTCTGTGTGAAAAGTATAACGCTAGTTAGTCAGCGTTTTCTTTTATTCGTTCAATACCAAACCGTTATCCGGATGATTTTTTGATTTTAAAATTAAAATTTGTTTGAATGAGTTGGATGGGCATCATGCAAAAAGATTGGCGTCGTTGAAAAAGTAGAGGTTATTGTTACATACAAACAGTTTATTGTGAATTGTTGGCTAGCCCCATTATCGGGGCGGAAATTATTTGATAGTCAAAGCGATTTAGCGTATAGAATTTACATTTAGTTTGATAAATTAAAACACTAGGAATATTTTACTTTTATTTATGGACAATTACCATAGCGATAGGTAAAGAATTGGGTGGGTAGATGTATGAGATACTGTAGGCACTAAACTTCCATTTGTAAGCTAAGTTTTCGACGAAATCGGTTATCATTTTCTTCAACATCGATTAACAACGTCTTCTTCCTTTCGTGCATGTACAGCAGCCCAGCGAGGAAGTTCTACTTTCTTTGTCGGAAGTTGAAAACTCTTCCATATCGTGGCTTGTGTCTCTGATGGGAGATCCTATTCCTTGATTGACCGGACCCGTTTTATCATTCCATATGACGCGAGCTTCTCTGTGAAACACCTATATACACCAGGTCAAGTAAGTCATTTTATATGAGAGCAGCAGAATTCATGTTTGGTCCCAATCTGAATTGGTTTATTTTGAACCAGTTGTGGCCGAGCGGCCTTAATGAACTTGAGTACTTTTTTTTCGTGTCAATACTTACCAACATTTATAAAAAAAAGTATCTATGGTAATGAATAACGAAAATTGGATTTGTATTCTTAATAAAATTTACCTTCCTACCTACAAAATGTTTATAGTTTACTAATACTTCGCTGTAGAGGGCAAAATATCCAGAAAACAGACAGTGGTATGCAGGTATGTTTCTTTTAAACATTAATATAAAACTAACCAAAAATCGCCTTTGAAGATTAAATTAAACTAAAATATACATTTTTTCGATAAAACACATCTTTGCCGAGATATTTGAAATGAAATTATTTAATTCACCGCTGCTTCAAAAGCAGTTCATTACAAATACAGTAGGTTGTGGATTAGAAATAAACACATCAAATTGACATTAGCGGTGGTGGCCATTAATCTAAATAATGCATCTTTGACAACGTTATCATAAAACGAAATAAAAAATAATTTCAAGCAGTTAATGTGCGTACGCATAATGAATATTCCAATAGTGCAATGAAGATATGAAATGTATTTATTCTCAAGAAAAATTTAACAGTCCTGCGGTACATATCCAAATAGAAGGCAAATGGCTCAACACATTTTTCGACTAGGCGAAATTGGGTTTTTGGTCCCAAGCATTATATTGGGCGTCCTAAAGCAATATCGGTGGAACAAGAAGATGAGCTTTTAGTTCAAGTGAGTGAAAATATAATTTAATTGAAATTTAATAAGAAATTGCTTTTTTTGCGCTTTCATTGCTCACCATATAATATTAATTGCCCACTAATACGTTAAGAAAAAGGCAAGAACTCACCGACGCCAAGAGGACAAACAATACGAGGAACATGGCGTACTACCTACTGTTTAAAAACACGCAAATTTCAACATGAAAGGAACAGAATGACAAATCCTTTTACGCTAGGTTCTAATTATATATAATTCGGGATGTTTGTCTACTCTGTCCATTCATTAAGTTTTGCTTAAATAGAACTCGGTATAGGTATATCTACCATAAATTTAATTGTAATTTTTAGTACCAACGAAACTGCAATTATGGGATTCTACTAATTATAAATTGAAATTAATTTAAGCAACCTTAGTTTGTGTTCCCTATGAACCTATGACACATTCAAATATTTGTCTCTCATAATGACGAGAGTTGGTTATTAATAATAATATCATTAATTGATTTCCTATGGATTAAGTGCCACGGTGACCCATTAAAAGTTTTATGAGCAGCAAGATATTTGTTGTTAAATTTGGTATATTTTCGCTGTTGCAATGTTGTCGGTTCTACCCGAAATCACTGGCAACATTGAAACTTCAAATGGAACATAAAAAATTAAACAACTTTCTCTAATTGTCCCTACATTTATCTGCTATCTTGTGCGCAGAAAAATAAATACAAAATCAATCAATTGAAGTTCCGAAAAATTACAAGAAAAAGTATCTGGGGTTTAAATGACACTGTCATTTAAATATTTTGTTTTATTCCAGCAAATTCGCAATGTTTAATTCGCGACGCGGCTCACTTAGAACAAAATACTAAACACATATGGATTCCACCGTCCATATAGATTTTTACCGGTTCAAAATTTAAGTTATATTTTAAAGTTAAAGATAAGTTAAGTTAAGTAATTTAAAAGTTAAGTTAAAATTTTAAGTTTAAACCTTAAGAAACACACGGGAGGATCCAGATTTTGTAATTAAAATATTATTATAGACGAAGCAACAGCAGTTATTTTTAATAGGAAGTGCATGAATATACTACAGAAAGCCCCAGGAAACAGCTAAAAACTAATTAATTACAAATCTGACCAAAACTATTTGACGGCGCTCCGCCATATAATATAGATGAATTAACAAACTATCTGAATGAAAGATTTGAATTGCCAAAAAAGGTAGGGTTATGCGATGGCTAGCTAATAGCCCCCACTTCGAAAATACAAGAGGAAATAGCAGATTGGAGTGTATAATATATATTGAAATTTGTATAAATAAAAATTGAGCATATAGAGGAAATCAATAAAGTTTGAAGTTATTAAATGAAATAATTAAAATAATTAAAGAAAAGTTTATTTTCTAATTCAAATTTGCAATTAAATTCATGGCTGTAAAGATTTTATGTAAGTTTTAGTAACTAAACTTAAGATAATACAGCCAAACTTTAGGTTCTTTAAATAAGGAAGAAAAAAATTTTTCAAATAAATTAAAATCTACTTCGAGTTATCTTTAAGACAGTGCAAGTCATGTTAATAGATTTTCAACATTTTTTTTATATTCTATAATTGCCAAAAGATAATAGAAAATAGATCATCTTCTTGTATTAATTTTTTTCTTTGAACTCTTTAAGATTTGGCTGTAGGTATGGTTCCAAAAATAAACAAACACTCCGCACTAACAATACTTTAAGTGTTCCTGACACTCTCGCATAATGATAACAATAATAAATGAGTTTATTGCAAAAAAAAAAAATAAAAATAAGGGCATCTATCATAACCTGAGACCTAATTTAACTGCTATCTTAATTACATTTTGAAAAATAAACTAAAAAAATAATTTAGATATATTATTTACAGCTGATTATGGAGAAGCAAGAGGTAATCCTGACGGCGGTGTTTTCGTCGCTGGCTGCCCTGATCGTATTGGTCGGCGCGGGGGCGGCATGCTATTTCTTTCATAAGCGTCGCCGCAAGCGCGACGACGACGAGGACGAGGAGTCGCCCGATGGCGGCGGCCGGATCGACGCCGCCTCTGATAAAAAGTCCCGCTTAAACGGATTTTTGAGCCTGAAGACGCCGTTGATCTCGACCAAGACGTTGGGGTGAGTATTCTGATAACGATTAGACGTACAGAGTTCTACGTAACCGCTAAATTGCGAGGTCGCATTTTGTCTACTGTGTTAGAGATGGCGCCACCATAAGTTACATTCCATTTAAGCTTCGTTAGTATCAAAGAGTATAAGATAGAGGTGAAGGTCGGGTATACTGTTATGAATCCCATCTAATATTTGTGTTTAAGTACTAAAGTACTGTCACGGCGGTTTAAAGTAATGCGTCACACTGAAAATACTACAGGAAGTTTGTTAGTTTGTAACGGATAACAGCACATTATTTATATTTTAATAAAAACATTTTTAAATACTGTTTCGACCTAAATTAATTTATTTCACATTTTACGTTTCAAGCTTTAAATTGAATCGAACCGTACGTCCCGCGCGTTTTCCGTTTTCATGACTGAACAAAATCACTAGAGCCTATCTTATACTCATTGGATAATATAATGGTGAAAAACGGGCAATAGATAATAATTAATACATATAAAATGGACAATTTTGGTTTAAATAATCATTCGTTGCAAGTCGATAGCTTATCGATATTCCTTAAGTTCTCTTATAACACCTCAAAACTTTGACACATTTTATTGAAAAAATATAAATATCGATTGAGATGGAAAAACGCGATTCTCATATTACTCATACTGAGCATACATGGTAAGAAAAAAACTGACATGAAAAACTGTGTCCAATTTCAAAATTGGCGTGAACTTTCCGTTTGAGTTACGATATTATGTAAAAAATGTTTATTGACGTGGTGCAACAATAAGACAAAGTTTTAGTTGCTTTTGGAAATTTGCGGTGTCAGCTAATATCAAGTGAAGTCACATTGGAGTAGAAATTTTTTTGAACGTTATCTATATTTTTATCGGTAATTTGGTAAGGTAAATTTGGTTAAACAGCCAATTCTTCCTAAAGTGCAATTCGCAGATGAAGGCTGTCAATGGGGGATTTGCGATGGTGTAGGCGAAAATTCAAATTCAAATCTTAAAGAAAAATTCTGACAAAAGCATCATTACAGAGATTTTAATCTACAATCAAACGAACAGTTCACATTGAAATTGAGTCCAGTTTTGGTGGCTGGTTGTTTTTATAGTGAGTGTATGTATTTTAAACAAAAAAGAATCTATTTTTTATATATTAAAAGACATCTGAGACCCACGGAAGTGCCCAACAGTAACAAATTTTCAAAAATTAAGCAAACTATTTAAATTTTGTTAGCGTCATCTTTACCCTATTACATACTGTACACATAAATTAAATTAAATTAAATTTCGAAGGAAGTTACACATTTTTATTATAAAATACCTCATTATAGTTTAGCTACTATACCACAGATGTCGCCTCTAGTTTATCCTCATAGTGGAGCCTATACGTTCCGCTACTAATCCTTACAATTTAAAACTACCCGTTCTATTATTACGCAAATTTGTCAGTGTGAAATGCGTGCAAGCACGTAAGAGAAGAATCGATATAAAACACAGTACATGCAACTGGATTTAGATGGCGTTTACACTGGGCGTGGCGTACATTACGATAACGATTGCGCAAGAGTTTGCTAGTAGAAGATTCCCGCCTATAGATGACTCTGGTATCGCTCGGAATCGATTATTAGCTTCAGTTTTGTCTGGCAGATTGCTGTACTAATGTCTTATCGATTGAGTGGGCTTTATCAAAGATCAATTTTCAGTAAATATTGCGCAAGTAATTAATTAATTTGATAACGGATGGGGATAAATTTTCCGGCTTCTCCACATCTTTTTCGTCCCGTTTTGTATTATTCGCATCGGAGGCCCCCCGCTTAATCATCAGGTAGACTTATTGGCCGATAAAGTGCCGAAAAGCCTGGGGGCGGCTAAAAATCGCGCTAACTACCCGATCTGCCTTAATCCCGTCCCCGGGGTATCAATTTGGGCCGTCGTTAACATCAGTTCAGGAAACGACGTCCCGTGTCGCCCCCTGGCTATCGGATAAATCAACTGAAATGCGTATAATAACATGACGGGGATAGGGCTTCGATTGTTATTCGTTCTGTATACGGCAATTTATTTTAGAATAAATTGAAATTTGCGATATATGCAGTTTATTGTAAATAGACATTTTTAGGAAAATTAGTTATTCAAAATAATTACCTTAACTATAAAATTACACAAAGCCATGCGGATTGGTAATTAACGTGGAACAGATTGATGGCCATATGTTAATGAAATGTTTTTTGATTGTCAAGCCTTGTTCTCATGTTTTGCGGTTTATTGATTGTATAATAAATAGCCACCATTAGTCAATTTATTATAAAAGCTCTAAGTTTAAACAGTATCCCCACTTCCACTTTTCTGTTTGAGGTTTGTTTTCACATTAGTTTGAAACTTGTTTGGGGATGTTTGGAGTGTGCGCAATTGATCTTTACCTTTTCCCCATGAGTTTCCACATGAGTGTGTTCAAACCACTATTCAGCTGTTTTTTCATACTTTCCTAAAAAATTTGGCAACGCAACTGTCAACTGGCAAATTGTTGGCACATGCGCGTAATACAATGAAAGAATAAATAATTAAAGCAAATATCAAAAATAAAAAAATCAAAAATGAATTCTTTAAATGAATTAGAATGTTTAATTTCATCCGAAATTAGCTACTAAAAATAGTACTAAGGGACCAGAGATGTTTGGAAGAAATATTTCCCCAGTTTAATGAAAACATGAAATATCAGTAAATTCTTCTTGAACTATAGAAGAGTCTATATATAGACAAATTTATAAAATACATACTAATAAACGTGATTAGTAGTAACACTTTCATTAAAGTTTAGCGTAATGAGAATGTGTATTATTTCTAACTTTTTGAGGATAAATCATGATTCCAGAACCCCAAGTAACAAGCAACGAAGATAACTTAGAAGAAGTCAGTTGATTTTTCCTCAATCTCTATTATTTAAGAATAAGTTAGTTGTATATCGATATCAACCTATGCGACCCCTTATGCGTTTATGTTTTCGAGTTAAATAAGAACAAACGGTGATCAGATGTGTAAGGGTGATTTGAGTTATTGCACACCCAAAATAGCTGCCTTATATACCACTTGCCTAATATACCATT